ATGACATTGTCACTGCCGGCACACACATGCATTAAAATTTGAGCACACGCAATCTGATATTTCACCCATGGAGACATTAGCACTCCTTTTGGTTTATATGCTTCCTTCTCCTTCATTCCTTTTACAAACACTTTCTTAAAAGAAGCTGTCTACTCCACTTTTTTATTTTTATTTCTCGTTTCAGTAACTTTCTCGTTTCAGTAACTTTCTCGTGTAAGGGCAATTTTTTTTTGTAATACCGTAATGCCGCTAAGTGGATGCAAGTTTATACGCGTTCAAGGCTGCCGTTTGCCAGGCCTCAAACCCTCCAAAACCCTCCAAACCCTCCAAAAGTCCGGCCAGCTCCGCAGGGAAAAGGTACCCCAACAAGCCCAACACGCGCCACTCCCGCACGCACAAGCCACCACAAGGCCACAGCAATGGCTGAAGGGCACCCCCCGGCCGCAGCAATGGCTATAAGGGCCTCTTCTAGGCGTTCAAGGCTGCCGTTTGCCAGGCCTCAAGCGCTCCAAACCCTCCAACAGTCCGCCCAGCTCCGCAGGGACAAGGTACCCCAACAAGCCCAACACGCGCCACTCCCGCACGCACAAGCCACCACAAGGCCACAGCAATGGCTGAAGGGCACCCCTCGGCCGCAGCAATGGCTTCTTATAGGCGTTCAAGGCTGCCGTTTGCCAGGCCTCAAACCCTCCAAACGCTCCAAAAGTCCGCCCAGCTCCGCAGGGAAAAGGTACCCCAACAAGCCCAACACTCGCCACTCCTTGCCACGCCCAACGCTGCAGGCAAAAGCCACCACAAGGCCACAGCAATGGCTCAAGAGCACCCCACGGCCGCAGCAATGGCTTCTTTTATAGGCGTTCAAGGCTGCCGTTTGCCAGGCCTCAAACCCTCCAAACCTTCCAACTCCTCCAAAAGTTTGCCCAGCTCCGCAGGGAAAAGGTACCCCAATAAGCCCAACACGCGCCACGCCCGCAGACAAAAAGCCACCACAAGGCCACAGCAATGGCTCAAGAGCACCCCACGGCCGCAGCAATGGCTTCTTATAGGCGTTCAAGGCTGCCGTTTGCCAGGCCTCAAACCAGGTACCCCAATAAGCCCAACACGCGCCACGCCCGCAGGCAAAAGCCACCACAAGGCCACAGCAATGGCTCAAGGGCACCCCACGGCCGCAGCAATGGCTGCTTATAGGCGTTTAAGGCTGCCGTTTGCCAGGCCTCAAACGCTCCAAACCCTCCAAATCCTCCACAAGTCCGCCCAACTCCGCAGGCAAAGGTACCCCAACAAGCTCAACACGCGCCACGCCCGCAGGCAGCAGTTACCACAAGGCCACAGCAATGGCTGAAGGGCACCCCCCGTCCGCAGCAATGGCTTCTTATAGGCTTTCAAGGCTGCCGTTTGCCAAGCCTCAAACCCTCCAAACGCTCCAACAGTCCGCCCAGCTCCGCAGGGCAAAGGTACCCCAACAAGCCCACCACGCGCCACTCCCGCACGCAAAAGCCACCACAAGGCCACAGCAATGGCTCAAGGGCACCCCACGGCCGCAGCAATGGCTGCTTATAGGCGTTTACGGCTGCCGTTTGCCAGGCCTCAAGCGCTCCACACCCTCCAAACGTCCGCCCAGCTCCGCAGGGACAAGGTGCCCCAACAAGCCCAACACGCGCCACTCCCGCACGCACAAGCCACCTATGGCTATCATAAAATGATTAATCATCCACAAGCAATCAGGTAGCCAACACAGCCATTGCCTCACCCTTGCGCGCCTGGCGGAGTTCGAGCTGATCCGTGTCCATTTGGCCGCAGGGTGCAACTTCTCGCTGCTTGAGAAGCAAACGGCCATATGTCTGTCTTGCTGTCCGTCTCCCTCTCTCTCTCTGCAGTACCCCCCCTCCAATTAGGGGGGTCGGCGGCACCTGGGCGCTAGCCCATTCTATAATACTTTTCTAAATCATTTTATGATCAGCTCCAGGTATTATTCAATTCAACAAGTGAACTATGCTTTCCACCGCCTCAATTCGACAAACAATAAAATATTTCGTGCAGTATCGTAGCAACAAACATATTTATTATGCCATTGGCTCAATGCAGCTTCATTGATCTAGATCGTCGTTTCGCTGTCATATCCCCATACAATTACGTTACAATTGGGCTGCGGTTCAGTGAACTTTCGAAGCTAGTCAGGGTATAGAACAAACAAATACAATCTGAGTGCCCAGCTTTCAGCGTATTCACTAGGTAGAAACTCTTGAAATTGCCTTTGGCTCAAGCAAATCAAACATTAAAAATCAACATGTACAAATTTTGATGCAAATAACTGGCTCCCAAATCTTTCGAGTCCAAATTATCGATGAGTCTAAAGGAACCCCAAAAATATAGACTGTCCCCGTTTCAGCAATTTTTTGGAATATGCGGGGGCCGACGCAAAAATAAATAAGCATGCCTGGGGTCCTGTCGCATTTTGCGAATTCCCGAATCCTTCTAGACACAATTTAAAACGTTGATGCTGCAAAGCTGTGGCAAAAACGGCTCAGCCTGAGATAGGTCACAATCTCATCCAAGCTTGGTGAGCCTGGAAACCTCAAAGCGCAACAAAGAAGCTTCAGGATGAGAGCCGACAGCTAATAGTTTTTTCATGTTGTCGGTTTCCGGTATGCTCATCACGACAAAGCACTTTAAAGAGATCCAAGGAGCATTTGCACCCATCGGCTGAGGAAGGAGGAAAACACATCGTTGTGCGGTACATACACAGCCTCCTCCACCCTTGCAGTCCTTGGAGCATCAAGGCACTCACATTTGATTTGCCTTGTGCTGCTTTCGCCTGACAAGAAAGCTGTGTGGAGAGAAAACCTTGCAAAGATTTTTGGCTGCAACTTCAGCATATCTGATTGATTCAACTTCCACACGCAGCTGATGAGCATGATTGTCCCCCCTGGATGTATGGTGAACTTTAATGAATATCCAACCGAATCTAAAAGCGCCAAGTGCTTTGTAAGGAAGCTATTCGACAATCCATTTTTTGGACTTGCTGAACACACCTTCCTTTGTCTATGCCTATGCGGTGTCTTCTCCCTTCTGTCACTACTGTATTTGCTGATCAGCTCTGCTGATGACTCAGAGTTGCCCCAAACAACCCCCAAGTACAAGCGGTACACTTGGTAAATATAGAGGTAAAATGACTAGCCCCCCTTTCGGCTATAATTTATTTACTTGTAATGAGATGGAGCAACCCTGTGACTTTAAGCTTGTTCTCCCTCCCGAAATGATTCATGGTTTGCAGTAGATATGTCTGGTCTACTGGCTACTGTGAGTATAAGTAGCACTGAGGAAACTCCGCGGACTTTCTGGTCATCTGGCTTGATGTACTTGCTGTAATATGGTTTTCCAAACCAATCATGTTTCGGGTTGGCCCCTGTGTTTTCAATTTTACTTCTTTTGGCGTGCCGTGCACAAGCCATGATTGCAAGTGCCAAATCCGGTACCTTGTAAGAACTTTTGCCTTCTAGGTTCGTACAAAGTGCCTAATACTTCATTCAGCACATCTTCTTTTACTTAAGGCCGCCAGGACTCTCTCGACATTTTCAGATTCTAACGCTTTGATGGGTCACGGCAATCGCCTTGAAGCCCCTCACCAAGGCTGTCGGCACATTATAATATAATATGTATATATATATATGTATATTATACACATCTTTCTAAAATGCTGCCAGCCACAGTGTAATTGTTTTTCCAACACGTGCTCTTTGTATTGACAGCGGGCATGGCAACTTATGCAAATTTTAAAATCAAAACTCGTGTGAGTCGGAGTTTAGCTAGAAGCAGCATGCAGATTTGGAAACTTGCTCACAAAACAAAGAAACCCCTGAAAATAGACATGCATACACTGATTAAGAGAAGCATGCAAGCAAGCGCGCACAGAGAGACATACACAACTGGAATCAACTGCACTGCCTATAGTCTCGTTCAAGATACCTGTTAGCATCGACCGATAACATTTGTCTTGAACGGAGCAGGTGGAATATTCATGGGATGTACAGTAGTTGATGCGGATAAGGCTCAAACAGAATACAACCGTAATGATGAGGATGTGACTGGCGATATTGAGGATGAGGAGGATGATCATGAGGGCTTAAAAAAGTTCACCAAATTGAATAATCCCTCAAAGTGCAAGCCATGCAGGGCAAGGAAAACCAAGAAAACTGCATACAACGACAATTGGTAGCAGTAAGGTGCAGAGACAAACGGGGGTTGAAACTGCTACCATTAGAGAAGAATCCATCCACGCTTGAAAAAACAATCCTTTAATTACCCTCCTCTGCCTGAAAAGAAAAATGTGCCAACGCACCGAAAACTTAGGTAACTGACGTCCCCTTCTGTGATTCTTTACAACATGGCATAGATACGCACAGATTAACCACAATAGCTCTTTAATGTGACTCTGGCTGGAAAGGCAAGTGTCGAGTCAGGTGGCCAAAAGCCTCTGCGAGTCAAGTCGGGCAAATCTAGGGTTCGCATGAAACCTGGCCTCGGCGTGGAGGCAACTTTCAAAGCGTACTACTATGTGAGGTGTAGTTGTACTCGCAGCACAATGTGCACGAGGGAGAAAACAATGTCCTTTGCACACGGGGAACTGCGCGCCTATCACTGGTTCTGCAATGGTGCCAGCTGCAGCACAGCACCAATACTTCCACTCAATGAAGCTGGAATCGCTGAAATCCCTTCAAAATGCAAAAGGATGAGAATACAATATGAGAACTCAGGTTCCGGACTCTTGCCAGGCGGCTACATACATCGCTCTCAAAGAGTGCGAGCCTGCGCACCCACCTTGCGATGCCTGATATGTTTTGCGTAGACTCAACACAAGCTCTGAGAAGTCTCCTGTTGCAACGGCTTGGAACTTGTCCAGGATGAATTTGTATGAATTTACCCCATGCCTTTCTGATTTCAAGTTTTTCACGTTTGTTTTGCATCAGTGTATTGCGAAACTTCAGAGCTCGCCAGGCCTTCTTTCTGAAGCAAGCGTCAGCAGCTGTCCTGGGACGTTCACATTAAAAATGCCTCAAATACAGCGTTAAAAATGACTATTCAGTGACAACTTGATTCGAATGAGAAGCAAACAATTGACAAAGGGTCAGGTGACATGTTTACATTCCAAATTGCTCTGTGTAAATCACCCCCTCGCAGCCGAAGGTTGAAGGCTACTTGCTTGCCGCTAACGGCTAGCTTTTCGAAGGTGTCTTGTGCAAATCGCATCCTTTCCATCACTATCCCAAGGCAAGCTATTAACATCTAATAACCGGATGAACTCGCATAGACAAAGACAATGACAACCTTCACAAAACAAACATGCTCTTTCAGCTTCTTGCATACAGTTTTGCGTTGCTACAGTGCTGTCTGCATTTTGTTTTCTGTTTTTGCAGCCATATAACTGTCATATATTGTGGCGTGTGCATGTGTATGTATGTTGGATGCAAACTTTTGTAGAAGCACAGGCAAAAAGGATCTTTGCAAAGGAATTTTGGAGCTACGGGCTAACGGAACCGTGCATTGATGGCCCACCAAAGTTCGCTACTTGCTGCTTCGGCAGCGCTTTGAGGGCATAAACTTCCAATGACCAATGGTGGCTTATCCGAAAAACCCTTCTAATGCACCACCCCTCATACGCAGCTTTCTGGCAAGTGCTGGCCAGTGGCGTTCTGCTGGGTAGCGCCATTGGCAAAAGGACGGTAATGTCAAGCGGGACAGGCCTGGGAATTGGATACATTTCAGCAGTCCGCCTCTCAACATCTCTTCGACTTGACATGTTTTCTCCCGTTTGAACTTCTCTTTGGCCCTTTTTGAAATCTCTGTACTGCAAATTGCCTGGAAATTCTATACAGGGTCTCCACATGAATCTGGTCTTCCGTCTCCTATCATAACAAATCAAATCAGAATAATTATATATTGTATCATATCAACTTATATCATATCAACTTATATTATATTAAGTTATCTTATCTTGCATTAAGGTATGTTATCTTGTATGGTATCATATTAAATTAAAATATTTGATAATGTTATATCATATCATACTATATAATATAATATGATATTATACTATATTATGCTATATTATACTGCATTAAAAGATAATATACTATGCTGTATTGTATTACAGTGTACAATATTGTACCGCTTATACCAAATAATATTCTATTGTATTAAATCATTATATCATATTATATACGATCATATTGTATACTATCATATTACAGCATACTGTATTTTATCAAATTGAAAATCATCATATTATACCGTATTAATTTGCATTAAATCATATTCTACTATTTTGTGTTGTAGAAAATTGTCCTACTTTTGAAACTATAATATTGTTCTATCAGGTCATATTATATAGTATCATATATCATATTATATATCATTAGTGTATCACATTTAGACCAAACGAGTATCATGTTGAATTATACTGTCTAATCTCACCTTACATTGTATTAACAAAAACAGTATACGGTATCATACGTGATAAAAACATACGAAGTCATATTAGCTGATCATACGAACTCACATTTCCCTACAACTTTCTCCAGCTGAACAGCTCTGCGATGCAAAGGCCCTGCAAAGCCCCGCCTCGCGACTCCCATATCCATCTCCTCCCCGGCGTGCGGGTCACTACGGTATGGTGTGGCTATTGTTTGTCTGACCCAAGTCTTGAAAATTAAAAGACGGGAGTAGGAAAATTTCATGGCTGATGGCATTACAGGCCGGTCTGGAGGAAAATATTAATTATTGGAACGCATGCGCAAATCAAGGTATCAAGCAATCTTGCACTGCCTTACAGTTTCATGCTGCCTTTGAGATCCTAAACGAGTGCATTCGATTTTGGTGCCAATTTTCCAAAGGAAAAAACAAACCGGTTTCTCAATATGTGATTTCGGGATCGGTTTTCAATAGTTTCAATAATTTCGGGATCGAGATGATTGCGCATTTTTTGGATCATTTTTTTCTATCGAAGTGTTTCCATCATAATCTACCCACTAAGGAATCTTTGGGAGGGTTTCAATGGGTGCAGAATTGTTTTTGGAATTATTTTTCTTTACAGTTTTTTTTTTTTGGGTTTCGTGCCTCTTCAATTTTTCCATGGTTTTCTTCAATTTTTCCATAGATTTCTTCAATTGTTCCATGGTTTTCTTCAAATTTTCCATGGTTTTCTTCAATTTTTCCATGGTTTTCTTCAATTTTCCATGGTTTTCTGCAAGTTTTCCATGGTGTTCTTCAATTTTTCCATTGTTTTCTTCAATTTTCCCTGGTTTTCTTCAATTTTTCCATGGTTTTCCATGGTTTTCTGCAAGATTTCCATGGTTTTCGTCAATTTTCCATGGTTTTCTTCAATGTTTCCCTGGTTTTCTTAAGTTTTCTATGGTTTTCTTCAATCAACCAATCAATCAATCATATATATATATATATGTATGTATGTATGTTAGGTAGGTAGGTATGTATGTATGCATGTATATGCAGGGTGTGGTTTAGGGTTTAGGGATACAACATGTAGGTAAAAAAACATGATTCTTTGTAGTTTATTTTGGGATCAAAGCTGTGTATAAAAACAACCACAAATATGTCATATATATATGTATATATATGTATACGTCTGTATATCTATAAGTAAATATGTATGTGTATTTATATATATAAATATATATATTTAAATACTTATAGATAAATAATTATATAAATATATACACATAGATATGTATATACATATTAATATGTATATATAAATATTTACATTTATATAAGTACAAAAATATATATATAAATAAAGGTGTATATATCAATGCAAATATATACATATACATATATATATATATGTCTCTATATATATATATATGTCTAGATATATATATATAATTTTTAACAAAATATTAATATAGTCGAATCAAACAAGTGTATTGAAAAGTGTGCAAGTTTGAATTTAAATAATTAAAAAAAGCGGGAGGGGGGGGATTGGGGGGAGGGCGCAGCGCCTCCCCGCCAAAGCAGATTGGAAACACCTATTTTACATGCAAGGTGCTGGGTTGAATGTGATACTCAAGGTGTATAGACTACACGACATGCACCCTGGAAACATGTGGAATACAGTATATATACTTATAGATACATACTTATATTTATATATATATACATTTATATGTATATACACATGAATGTATATATATATATAAGTACATAAATAAATAAATATATATATTAATATGTAAATATAAATATATAAATATAAATATAAAAATATAAATATATAAATATATCAAAATAAATATATAAATATAAATATATCAATAATATACATATATATAAATATATAAGTGTATATATATACATGCATAGATATAAATATAGGTATATATTTACATATATATATATGTAAATATATATATATATATTTGAATTTGAATATAAATAGTAATAATATGTATATAAAAAAATATAAATAGAAAATATAAATAATATAAATATATTTAGATATAAATATATAAGTGTGTATATATATATGTATATGTAAATATATATATATATAGAGATTTTAATTTAAACATAAATATTAATATAGTCGGTTCAAACTAGTGTATTGAAAAGTGTGCAAGTTTGACATACTAAAAATACCACCAAAAGCCATGGAAAGCAAGCCAAAAGCCAAAAGCAAACAAGCAAAAAAGGCAAAAATAATAAAAAGCAACAAAACAAAAAGCAAACAAGCAAAAAAGCAAAAACCCAAAAAAAAACAAAAAAGGCAAAAAGCAAAAAAGCAAACAAGCAAAAAAGCAAACAAGCAAAAAAGCAAAAAAAGCAAAAACGCAAAAAATCAAAAAAAGCAAAAAGCAAAAAAGCACAAAAGCAAACAAGCAAAAAAGCAAAAAAGCAAAAACGCAAAAAAAGCAAAAACGCAAAAAATCAAAAAAAGCAAAAAGCAAAAAAGCACAAAAGCAAACAAGCAAAAAAGCAAAAAAAGCAAACAGGCAAAAAAAGCCAAAAAAAACAAAAAAGCACAAAAGCAAAAAAGCGCAGAAGCAAACAAGCAAAAAAGCAAAAAAGCAAAAACGCAAAAAATCAAAAAGCAAAAAAGCACAAAAGCAAACAGGCAAAAAAGCAAACAAGCAAAAAAGCAAAAAAACAAAAAAAACAAAAAAAATGCAAAAACGCAAAAAAGCAAAAAAGCAAAAAAAGCAAACAGGCAAAAAAAGCAAAAAAAATACAAAAAACACAAAAGCAAAAAAAAGGAGAAAGCACGATAAAACAAGAAATCCCCCAAAAAATCCAAAAACGTAAAGCAAAAAAATCCCAAAAAAAATAGGCCTCCGGTTTCAATCTAGCCCCTCCTTCAAAAAACATGAAGCTGAGTTCAACTGACAAGTGTGCCGGTCCAATGAATTCCCGAAACCGGTTGAATAAGTTGAAGTCTAGTTGACTCGGATAATGGGGTGGAGACAAAAAAGTAATGTGACTGGGGTGACTCATTTAAATACGTAGAAACGTACTGGCGCCCAAAATGGATGCCTTTTATGACTTTTATGGAGAAAAGGTCTCAACTCTCAACATTGAAACAATTTTTGGACAACTTATGCCACCCAAATGGATGCCTTTTGCAGAGAAAATGGTCAACAATTCTCAACATTGAAACCTTTCTTGTTGCATCATGACCCCAAACATGGATGCCTTGTTTCGAACAAGTTCTCACCATTGAACCATTTTATGGCACAGAAAGAACGTGCAAAAATGGACACCGTTTTTGTTGCAGCATGGTGCTTCCCAAGTGGATGCCTTTGATGACAAAGAACTGCTCAACATTGAAAACGTATTTCATAGAAAACCCATGCTTTATTCAAGTAAGTAAGTACCCACCAATGAAACCTCGTATTGTTGCAACATGATGGCCCCAAACATAGATGCCTTTTATGGAGAAAGGTTCATAGCATTGAAACCATCTTTGGCAGGGACACAATACATTTTTAGCATTGAAGTGTGCTTTTGTTGAAAACTAAGCCGGCCAAAATGGATGCCTTTATGACAAGTAAGTTTCCAACATCGAAGCTGCTTTTAACGGATATGAAGAAGACGTTCCCAACATTGAAACATTTTTCCTAGGAACAACTACAGTAATGCTGCCGAAAATGGATGCCTTTAGGACAAAGTAGTTTCCAACGTTGAAACGTCTTTCTGCTGGGCGGAGAACTCATCATTTCATGCAAACAGAAGCGACGGAAGCCTCCTGACTCGAAATGTAATTCATCCAAAAACAAGATCACGCCGCCCGCAATGACCCTGCTGATTTTCATACTTTTTGCTGCTGTCGAGTCTCTGTTTTCACAACCTTTCCAGGGTTTCGTGTCCAGAGCATTTTGTGTAGATTTGCAATTCGATTGGTACAGTATTTGCATGACTTCGTAACCGTTTTGATGATTTTATATACATTGGTGGACATGTGTTTTTTCGGTTCCCATATGTTGAAAAAACTGTATGTTTGTTGTCTTTCACTTGCAAGTCTTTGCCAAGGTGCCAAGCTGTTGCAATTGATCATCCTTTAAAAGATGCGCAAACATATAAGTATACTTCGACCAAGGTAAAAAAACACCAACATGTATATTATATAGATAGATGGTACACAAGAGCGTTACATCCGAGTGTTCAAAGCATGTTACATGTAACATTAAACTGTTCACAGCGTGTGAGATGTTACATGAAAGTGTTCACAGCGTCTGAGATGTTACATGAAAGTGTTCACAGCGTGTGAGATGTTACATGAAAGCGTTCAGAGGGTAGCACCCAGAGCGTGTTCGATGTTACATGAAAGTGTTCAGAGGGTAGCACCCAGAGCGTGTTCGATGTTACATGAAAGTGTTCAGAGGGTAGCACCCAGAGCGTGTTCGATATTACATGAAAGCGTTCAGAGCGCAACACCAAGAGCTTGTTAAATGTTTCATGAAAGTGTTCAGAACGTAGCACCAAGAGCGTGTTGGATGTTACACGAATGTGTTGGCGCGTGCTCCATGTTTCACAAGATCATAGAACGTTATTGCATGCCCCTCCCAAACCCCCCTGTTCAGGAGGTCGCATGTAAAGCGTGCTCCATGTTTCACGAGATCATAGAATGTTATTACCTTCCCCCCGACCCCCATGTGCAATCATGCCGCATATCCAAAAACGTCAAAAACGCTAGGACTGTTTTCCCTCCGGTGGCATAAACATAAATAGATATAATATACCTACAATATAGCTATAAATGTATGGAAATTTAGACAAGAGAAATTTCAGGACGTAGCATCAACAGCGTGTGCAGAAGTTTCACAAAGTTTAGAGCCCCTGGCACACAAAATGTAAAATGCAAAATGTGATATGTCTGACATGTGACAAGACCACAAAAAAAAGCAAAATATGACATGTAACAGGACAATGCAAAAATTAGCAAACCGCCTGGGGTCGTTAGAGGCGACGTCAGCAAAAGAACGTCACTAAACAGGCTAGTGGATCACCAAGTTTTTCTTGATGACGCAAAAACTTGGTCGTAATCATATATTGCGTTGCATTTCTCACACTTGTTCTGAAAAATCACTAGTGAACAAGTACACTTAACATTTGTTTCTTGATGAGAGAGAGCTGCTTCACCAATTTTGAAAAAGCCTCTCAAATGTCATTTTTTGGCTATCATATTCTTGTGTTTGCAAGGGTAGCTACCAGGTTGCTCTTGTGGGACCCCTTGGCATCCACAGCACGGTTTTTGGTAAACAAATCCGATTTCCGATATTCTTATTCTTACTTTGGACCAGCGACTGGACTATTGAATGAATTTAGCCAAGGTAGGGCGCAAATTAAGCATAAATAAAGCATATATTACAGGCCCGCATGTCCTATCGAATGCAATCATTCTACCAATGAGTTTTGAACACACCTGACAACTCTGACAAGTCTGTTCAAGCCAAATCTTGCACAACTCCCGCTCCGCACCAAGCACGCCATCCCAAGCAGACACGATGCCCAGCAGTGCCGCGTGAGGGCCAGAGCCCCCCAGAGTCGCTGCCAGGGCCACTGGATCTCGTGCGAGGAGTAAGGCCTGGACCTTCAAAGCAGAACTTCTTCGTGAACAAAACAGGAAACCAAATAGGAAGAATAGGACAATATTATATAGTTATATATACATATATATTAATGGTTAGTAATGTAAATATATAGATACATATACGGCCTAGTATAGATATCATCATATACATATTTCATATACAATCCTATATGCATTCGTCATAGTTTGCAAATGAGAAGTTCACCTCCGGTGCTATGTGCGAAATACGTGAATCAATGTAGACCACGCTTGAGCCATCCCGACTTCAGCTTCAGTCCGTAATATTTGCCTTGCCTGTGTTCACTAAGGTCGGGGCAGCTGGATGGTACTTGTCATCTGACCATATACCTGCAGGGTTCTCAACAGAATGCAGGAATGGTCTTGCTCAAAGGCTCCTTCCCAGATGCACCTTGCCTTGTTGAACTTTGGTCCCGAATAAATCCTACGATCTCAAATAGCATGTGTGACCTTTCCTGAGATTTCCTCCTGGGCATCAACTTCAGCTGCGTCCCGTTTCGATTTCAAAGGCTGTGCCAAGATATACAGCTTCAGGTTGCAAAGCATTATATAATCCAAGTTTGCAAGCATTACGTAATTAGCACGTAAAATGTACTTCATGAGCCAAAGATGGAAGCCAGTTGATCTAGATATGCGTTCAACCAGTTCAACAAGGAAGAGCAGACTTGCAGTAGGTGGCGGCGAAATAAATACAATAACTAAGACCAAGCAGGTTTTACCTCTCTATATACCAAGTATATCTATATATTGCATATCTCTAATATATATATATGTATACATATTGTCTCTGTATGCCTTTTCATACCTACGTACCTTTATATTCCTTCATATTCAATCATAGTAATGTACAACCCGGTAGGTAAAATACGAACCACTCATAATCGTACGCAATCACTCATACATCAACTCTGTGATTGATAATAGCTGTTCTCTACAGCTCTTGTCTAGCCCATGGTGAAAATACATGAAAACAAGATGCTTGAATTGTGGGCCGTCTTAAAATGCGCAGTTCACGCCTGAAGCATTCAGCATCTGGCGATATGCCACCTACAAAGACTCACTTCTGCACATCTACCACGGGCAAGAGTACTTTAGTGCTTTTGGGTTGATTTGAAGTTTGAAGACCCTTGTTTGTGGAGGAAGACCCGCAAGATTCCCATAAACTTACAATAACTTACATCTGCTGTAGGCACCTGTGCACTGTACTGGACATCATTCGAACACTCACTTCGTTACCTTAAGTTTGTTTTTCGCAAAACCAAGGCGTAGGCATGCAATGCCATGCATAGGCAGCTCCGTAGTGCTTGTCATACGGCATACGGGATCATATGTCATCATCTAACAACTCATTTCTGGGTGGTTCAAAGACAGAACTGTCGCCGACAAGACTGCTCCGAAAGGTGGGGAACGCGAACATGTAGTTTGCAGAAGAAGAGCCACTAAAAGCAAGCAACAACCTGCTAGAGCAAATTTCACGACATATCAAAAGTCTGCAGCAGTAACTGTGAGCTCAGAAGCTCATGAACATCAGTCACATTGCAAGCACCGGATCATTGGCAGAACCCTGTCTGCTGTGCAGAATTGCATCTTCTGAAGCCTGTAAGAATACAGATTCCTCACAGTATCCCTAGCCACAAACCTGGAGAATGTTGACACGATCCCATCTTGTCTGCAAACTGGCATTGTGCATTTGCAAGGAACATGAGCAAGACCTCGTCACCTTTTCTAGTATGTGCCGCATGGCATCAAATGCTCGCATGAATTCAAGCAACCCACTGTAGACATCACCCCCAACTTATCCACAAATTCCAGCAATCGCCAAGATGTGCAAGTATGAGGAATACCAAGGAATATCAGCATGACATAACATGAGCTCACCGCACCTGTGGTAACAAGTCAACTCGAAGTCTTGAGAACACTGATGCCACTCATCATTGATGAGTGGCATCAGTGTTCTCAAGACTTCGAGTTTCACATTGCTTCAAGCGGTGGGAAATTGGCAGCCGGCAAAAAACGTAATGGCGGTATTTCCGAAAGCCCGGAGGAATACGAAGAAGAAAGCAAATGTTCAAAGCTTCCTTCCTTCACCGTCCATCCGTTTGTGACCCGCTATAAAACCAAGCCCCAAGTTCAACATACCCCCCCAACCTCTACGTCTCTATGGACAAAATATATAAAGAAACCCGGAACAGGAGCCAAGGGAGGTGCATACTGTACGGCGGAAATTTCGTGCGCATGCTGTACAATGGAACCGTCAACCAACCGAACCGACTTTTGTGCATTTGAAAAAATCTGACGACTGCGGTACAAAACGTGTTGACATATGAGTCACCTTGCCGACATGTGACCAATCTCCATCATACCAAGAGTGCGAGATCTTGGGACTCTTGCGCCCACTTCGACATACAAGTGCCAAGCAGAACTCTACTTTTCTATGATGGGTGCAGCTACAAGTTTGCAAATCTGTTTGCGCCCCTCACCTCTTCCTCTAGAACTTATGTATCAGCAAATCTGTGTTCCGAAAAAAACCCATGCAGCTGGCACTTGGCATTCGGATGCGACAACGAGAGTACATTTCCAGCCCCTCTATGCCCGACACCTCAACATCCGAAGCGATAACAAATTGCAAAAGGCATGCTTTCAGGCTTCATAGACGTGAAAGAAAATTGGTTTCGATAACTTGGATCTTGATTAGTCCTCAGCGACAGCTACTGTAATATAACATAATGGAATTTCTGTGCCGTTCAATCTGGAAATCACATGAAATATCATGAAATCACATAGAAGGCAAGAACTCTTAAGAACTCTTTGATCCTCTTGGAACTTGTCAATACCAATATCACTTGCACGTTAAACAGATCATCCAGTGGGTCTCGTGGGATGTGTTCTGCCACATTCTGCCACAATTGCGAAGGAACATGAATCCCCTCAAAACGGCCAGTGATATGCCAAGAACATCCCAAAAAACAATCCAGCCTTGATGCGTTCGTAGCAATCGAAGCCAGTGACAAAACATCCAGTTGTTGGCTCCAGAAATAACTGCGGCTGCAGCTCGACGACGACTGAAAGACCGTTCATCCAAGCCTGAAAAGGTAAGATGTGAAGGTGACTGCAAGTCCTGATTTAGACATGAGTTCTATGCATTGAGAATGGGGGAAGCCAAACACGGACAGCTACGTTGCAAACAACATGCAAACAATATGAAGGAAAGTTTGAATAAAGAAGCAGAAATAGTGCGTTCAAACATCACAGCAATGAAAGACTGGAAGAAAGGTGTGTACGCAACAATTGGGGCATGGAGCACTTACAGGTAAATGGGAAAACAGAATGAATAAAATTGAATAAATCATAGTTCGCAATTTGCATATCCAAAGGAAATTTAGTTGGCAAGCTGACAAGTCACGGGCAAATGTCCATGGGCAGCTTTTCAGCTCACCATTCCAACCACACAGGTAGCATCACCAGCTGCTGGGAAGTTGACACAGGATTTGATCCCGAAACAAAACAAGTTGACATGTCCTATAAATTGAAAGTGGAATTCAAACAGAGCGGCTGATTTGTGGCATATATGGCTGACACGACTAGAAATAGCAACATTACACCCATTTTTTGGTCACAGCAACACACCGTGTTTGCGGTCTGCGGACGGAAGCGGCGGGTAGAGGACGAGACGGAGGAGGCGACGAAGGAGGAGTGCTAGTAGAAGTAAAGTACAGTGGAAGTACCTCACATACCAACAGGGTAAGCGACATCACTCCGTGATAATATCGTGACCAAATCCGCGTTATGCTTGCGTTCTGACTTCCTTTAAGAAAAACAACATCAAATCGGCATCAAGCCGGCTTCGCAAATTCAGTTCCACACCGCAGTATTGCCACTATTGCTTGACATGTTTTGCGTTATTTTTACTTTGATTTTGGTTTGGGTTGCTGGAAACGATTCTTGGAATATTTGGGGCAGGATTTGAAAGGTCTCGGTTTCGTCTTGATTCCATGTTGGTTTGATGTTGTGTATGCAGGTTTGAAGGCTATTAAGAACATAAACATCATTTTTTTAAAGGAATCCACCAAGTTGCCGAAGTTGATCTGTTTCTGCGCACATTTTTTTGCTGGACTGCCTTTTTACACGAAACATGCTCCGTGCGTTGAGAACAATATATTGCGTTGATGCTGTTTTCATGTTGCCATTGAGCCTTTTTGACTGTGGAATTCCGGTCTCGATTTGTAGTCATCCCGTGATCAAATTGACATCAACTCGACATCAAAAGAACAAATAAATAAACACAACAAAAAGAACACTGTTGGCAAACCAAAAATGATGAGAGCATGGAAAAGGAACCGTACGCAACCAGCATGTAGCTAGCATCAACCCAACACCAAAGAGTGAAGACAATGCATTGCATTGTCCTCATCTTTCGTTTAGTCAATGCTGGTTCCATGCCAACTGACCACTGTGTATGTACTTTTTAGAAACCATAACAAAGAGGCATTCTTGGAAAGTCTTTGAGACATGAATTTCGAACGACATAGGCAGCAGCCATGGATCAAAACTGACAAATCCCAAGAGTAGCTAACCACCAACGCAAACCCACACCCAATAGTTGCCTGAGTAAATATGCATGTAGCATTACTCATTACACAAATGTCAACCATAGAACCATGTAGTCTTGTGATTCCCCCTCTGCAAATAAATCTTCGTTGACCTGTGACTCCCTTTTGGCATCTGTTGGCCAAGCCTTGTCCAAGAACTCGCCAACATTGCTCTGCACAACGCAGTGGTGAAGCAACAAAGGCCTGCGGTCGCAGAAGCTCTGCATTTCGCTTCAAGACTCAGTGTTCAAATTCTCACACCACCTGGCCTGACATTGAACTCTCTCAGTTCATTCAAGTCTGTTCGGTCTGCATGGCCTCAGGAAACTGCAAGTCCTCCAGACTAAGACTCATGCCTCACAATCTGTAAACTTGATTTGCAGTGCATCTTGGGTCTGAGAATGAGGCCATGCCAAGTTGAGACCAGCCAATAGCTAGCAAGATCATCTGGGCAGCGCGTTCTCTCTTTCGGTGAATCCAGTTTTCTCGAGTTCAACCAAAAAAGTCAAACGATATGCACAAAAATCAGAAAATGCACCCAAGACAGATCCAACACTTATTCTAGTTTCTAGCCACTGATCAAGTCTTGCGCAGTTCAGCGAGTAGGACTGCTGCATAGCACATGTTCCGATATGTTTTGATTCCTTGTCCCTCACTTGTTCTGCCATGGTTTCTCAACAAACATTGTTGAAGAAGCAGTACCTCACCACCAAGCTGCACTGCACACTACTGTAGCAGTGCAAATGCTGCCAGACTTCACAAGCACCCATGTCACTGTCATACTTGTCTGTAAAGTTTTTGCGTCGGGATATTCACCGAAACCATCCACGTACGGTGGCTTTCTGACATCTCGATGTGTATCATGTGAATCTCCACACAAATATGGACCGTGCAAATTCACACCCAGTGTATGATGTGTTTGATGTGTATGATGTATATGCTTATTCCTGGCTGACTTGTGGAGGCTCTCACCGCTGGCTTCCACAAATAACCTTCTCCACCAAACCACGGAGCAATGAAAAGTACTCTTTTTCTCCTGCCTAGGATACTTGGCTTTATGCCTATGTCTTCCTGACTCTTCAAGAAAGACCAGCTTGGGCATATACTGTATCAGTTGGTTTTCAAAAACCCATCCTGGCCCCCAATTGAGAATGAAATCATTTGCTTCGCATGCTTACAAGCACGCATCTGTCCATATCGATCCATTCATGCAGGCAACATCAGGAAACCACTCGCTCTCTGCCAGGGAAAATATAGGAAACAACAAATGGGGACAAATTCATGCAAAAATTGGAAGACTAGGCCTAGGCTACCTATCATCCACTGAAATGTCATGCCCCACGTGCGGTGATTGCAGATCTGCTTATTCAAGTTGCAATCACCTTATATACTTTGTTCCGTGATGTTTCGTGTGATTCTGTGGTTGAACTCTTCTGCGGGGTAGCACGCCTGGCCCCGGTGGTCCATCGCCGCAAGCACCGTCCAACCGCTCTGCAACCGGACGAAGGGCAGCTTGTGCACCCGAAAGTGCGAGCAGGAACCAGGGCCATGCGGCTCGGTACATGTGAAGACAGGGATGAAACAAAAAGAATACAAAAGATATGTAACCAAAGCAAACCTACGAGAAACGAATGTTGACACACCCTTTCTGGTTATGTTTTGCTGCATTGTCATTTGTTTGTGCAGTAGCTATCAAGTTAAACTGGATGCAATGACAGCACGCATAAATAATTGCCAAATGTATCTATATATACATATATCATCATATATATGTATAAATTGATAATATACAATATGATATACAATATGTATATATACACATAGAAACAAACAAATACATATATATATACACATATATGTATAAATAAATACGAGTAATATGTAGATTCTAGATTATAATATATCATGCATTATCATGCAACGTACATATTATGAAACACCATGAAAAAAAGTCAGCACCTCCTTGGTGCCTTGTGGTCACGGAGGGTTTAATCACATGCACACAAATCTTGCAAACATTGACACAGCTGTGTTGCCAGCCGTTGTCTAGTACAACTTGTACAACTTGCACAACTGTCTACAACAAGTTAGGCAACTGCGAATCAAAAACATACAGCCAAAGCAGCGTCGGGAGCATTCCAGAAAAACAGCATGTGTCTCAGTCGGTCCTGCACCATCTTGACAACTTGAGACGAGAAACTTGATGACATCAGTTGCAGCAAAGCAGAAAACTTAATGAAAAGCAACCTTTGTCAAAGCGGAGAAAACTGTTCAATCAGTTGCAGCGGGGCTGACTGACCAGTCTGTTCCTTGCTTTTTCACTCACTCTTAAGGCGGTGAGAGCAAAGGCATTCCCACGTTCACCGCGTATTGCGGTCAGGTCATGTGATGTCGGGATTCATTCGTTGGCGGCTGGTTGGCTGAGGTTGCAACCTCGACACTCGAGCTAAGAGAAATCTTAAAACGTACAAGCTCTGTGATCAAAGCAAAACAAAAAAGGAGGACCATGACATACCATGACCATGTGCAACTCATCCCGTGCAATCCATTTTATGTTTTAAGTATTTTTACGTTTCTTCCAGAGTCATTAGTCATTTGAAATCAAAGCTGCAATGCAAAGACATGAATGAAAGTCGGAAAAGTGTCGCCCAGATCTATCAATACATTGCAATTGCAGAAGCAAATCGCTCAGGCACATTCAACTGTAACTGTAGCTGGATCTCAGCTGTTCCAATTCATATCAGGGCCCCCATCCAGTCCTCAGACATTCAGATTGCTTCCAAACCATGTCCAGTATTGTCCAGTCCTTTGAGCCTTTGGCTATTTTGAGCCTCAGCCGGTTGCCTTCAAACGGCCTCGGCATAGGTTGCCTGGTTTGCAATCTCAGCAAGGATCTCACCAATGGCAATAACCTCAGCAGCGATGTGAACGTGGCCAGTAAAAACAAAAATGATTTTTCGCAAAAAACAAATGCACATGGATGGACAAACCATAAGAAGGCAATGTCTTTTCACAGCAAGCAATAGTGCGATACCTGCACAGCATACATGCAGACCTTTCTTTCTTGTGTAAAAAAGAAAACGCTAGAGCAAATGATCTAATATATAATATTATATAATCCTTTGGCGCAACCCAAAGAGGCCCCTCCGCAATAGCCCACATCGATGCAGAAGCTGACCCTAAAGCCAATTCAGGAATTTAGCAAGAGTTGTGCATTAAGCCAGACTGATTCAATCGGCATGGGGGCTGTGCCGCCCAAAAGCAAAAGAAAGCCAGTGGAAGAGGTCCTTGAGGACACGTCACCGGAAGTTACCAGCTGAAGAAAGGGCAGCCAAGTCTTGTGAAATCAAGTCGAACTTGTGATTCAAACTCGTTACAGTCAGGGACATTCCAGGACTCTGTTCCAATGTAGTCGTGATAGTGAAAACATGTCAACACGATCCATATTCCGCTGAGAGTTTCAATCCGCTTTATTGATGGAACCGTGGAACCAACGTATTACAGGTCACCATCTGACCATTTCAGGATCCCAGAACCTCAAAGTAACGTGGGGCTGGTGCTGAAGCCAAGATAGCCACCACCAACACCATCAATTAATTCAGCCCTTTGGATCCTTTGGTCCAAAGAAAAGAGTGTGATACCGAGAGATACTGTGATACTGACCAGGCATAAGAGCCGCTGGTTGTCACGTGCTGTCACCCACTGCTGCTGGGTTCATGGGTTGCTGGGTTGCTGCTTGTGGTGATGGTGGTGGCCGTGGGACATGCAAACAGCTGCAGTGCTTGTGTTTAGGAGATACCGAAAAACAGAAACAACAGAAAGCAGCAGCATCGAGAACATAAAACATCACAGCAACAAAACAGTGCGGACTGCGCGCATGGTCTGGTAGCACTGAAATAAGTCCGGGACTCGCTCGTCCTTGGGTAGCATCTCGGCTAGTTCAACCAAAAGCACCACCTCGGAATGCAAACACCACAAAAAATCACCAACCTTGAAAACATCTTAAAACAAAGTGCTCTTCGTCGTGTAGATGACCCCCCGGATTCGACAAAACCAACAAATTGAAACAATTGAAACACTGGTGGCCCCTGACAATTTCCTGCATCCTTTTGTCTTGAAGGCCAGGTTGCCTGACGCATTGTTTGCAGTAATGCTACGTAATCTGCCTGACACCATTAAAGAACGCAGTCCTACTGTATACACTTGCTGGTCTCAAGGCAGGCCAGGGTTTGAGAAATTGATGCCACACAGCGCGCATGAACTAAAGAGTTTAAAACTTGACACCACTGCCACTGACACAAAAAGTGCGCAGTTCAGCAACGAAGAAAATAGACAAATCATGAAAATCAATGTTCCAACATATTCAAAGGTAAAGTGCGCGCACCTTCTCAGTTGCGCCCGTAACCAATGGATTCGGTCTTGCAATTCGGTCCTTACGGCATCAAACAACATCTGCATTCATCCATGGAACACATCTGCTTAAAGCTTCTCGGATGGGCATGGCATGCAGAGTTTCCTGTGTGGATTTTTGCATTTTTCGCACATGCTCTCAAATATTCTGATGGTCCGGATATCAGAGTTAAACTGTGACGAACATATTATGTAAAGTGTTGATGCAGTGGATGCTGCTGCAGGTACTGCAGGTTTGGCTGCAGCATGCTCTGGCCACTTGCGAAGTGGTTCAGAAGTAAGATCATGGCGCTATTGCTGATTGCCGTAGCAGTTCATCTCGCAGAACCTTGCCACAAACTTGAAAAGAACAACTATTTCTTGGCCAAAGAAAAATAACTTCTGGATACAAACGCCGTCCAAGGAGAAGGCAAGGTCAAACATATATCTATATCTATATCTATATCTATACATATCTATACATAATTATACATATCTATACGTATGATGCAAGTATATGACTTGGAGCTTGGATGGCTTTGGCACCTCTGCACGTTGCTGCCATGTCTCGTCCAGACCAAGACTGGCCTCGCAATAAAGCATATTGGTAAACAACAGTAAGAATAATGAGGTGCTTTCATGCTGAACCCTAAAGTTTCGATGTAGACTTTCCACCGGTTAGCAAAATCACATAGCATCACAATGTCCCTTGGCAGCAAGAAACATGTGGATAATTGTGATTACAAGATGAACTACAGTACGCCCCGCTGAAATGAGAAGGCGCATAATTGAAAGACTGAATGGAAGAGTGTAATATGAATGTCTTGGTTCCCTATGTCACTTGATGGATTGATGATCCAGAAAGGCTTGATTGCCACATGCACACTTGACATCAACACTTGAATTGGACAAATGGTTCTGGTATGTTGGGCCAAGGTTGGCAGCTTAGCCGAGTTTGTGACCTTGTCAAAAAAACATTGAAAAGACACACGGTTCTAGAACAAACTGCCATAGAGTGCCCCCCTAGCCGAAGCTTAATAGCGATTGCAATTGATTGCAATTGCTTCCTGTCGTTGCGTGAGCACAAAAAAACGCCTTGGCGGCAGATTTTCATCTATAACATATTTTGAATGCATACATGTAAATCATATTCTAACATGCATTGATGTATTATTTATAGTGCAGACACGCGCAAAAATACATACACATGTATACAGAATAAAACGCAGACACACGCACACACACACAGACACACACACACACCAGACCCAAAAAGAACACTTGTATCGGCACTACATGCTGACAAATTGTGTCCAGGAATCGGTCAAACATCGAAGCTATGTTCACAGTTTGGGTTGGGCCCCCGAGGTCTGAATGAGACTAGGCAAAAACGAAAAGCATACCTGCAACATTTGCAACTTTGGACTTCTGTTTTCTTTGCCCCAAGAGAGAAGACGGAGAGGCATGAATTGCATGGAACATCCGTCAAAAGGAACCAATGATAATGCCGTTTGAGGTCCCCTGTGGCTTCATTAGGGCTTTTGTTTTCCGAGTCGTTTCGGCTGAGGCTTCCAGCTGATGTGGAAGCATCACTCGGAGCCTAAGAGGGGAGGCGAGCCAAAACCCGCGCAGTGTATTTCACATTATTTTTGCAATCTGGCAACTATCTGGAGAATCCTTTATTAACATCTGCAAACGCAAACCCCCGGCTCACTAAATGACCCTTTCGCAAAATTGTGCCCAAATCCGCTCCAGTTGCCGTGAAGCAGGCCTCCTCTGCTCCCCAAGAACCTGGGGAAAACTGTTTCCACTGTGCATATGAGCATATTGTCCATCCAGATCATCAGCAACTTTAAACAAAATTAATTCCATTTAATCTCCTCTACGTCTCAGCCTCAGCTTCTACAGAAAAAATCATGCATCCCATTTGCCATAGCATTTGCCGGTGCCTGCATTCAACTTGTTCAGCTGCTCAAGCCGGGCAACTCCTTGGCCAGCTGAACAACAAACAACATCCATGGCCCAGTCAACATCCTGCAATGGTGGACGCAATGGTTTGCTGGATCTTTCGAACTTCTCGGAAACATGTGGGAGTTGCATCAGTTTGCTTCAGACAGGAAACAAACAAATATGGGAAATGGGCAGGAATTCGGTTCAGCCACCAGAATAACTGGACCTAATGTTCTTGCTGTGCCCAATTTTCATTCCAACGCGTACGAATATGAGAAACCATCCCCATGAGTTTCTATCTCAAAAAGAATATGTCTCAAAAACATGTGTGCCCCTGCAAAGTGTTAGAAAAATCAATGCCACAAACAATTGATTCATCCAGTAAGAATGACACGTATATCATGGACTTCCCAACGGCAGACCGTTTGCGGCACAAGAAAACAACCGCGGCACAAGTTACCACCCTGACCCAGTATCATCTCATGCTGTTGCACTGGTTGCTACGCTGCTGAATTGCTAGTGTTAAGTTATTCCTGACAACTGACAACTTGAGAGCAGGCGGAGGCGGACGAAAGGTAGTGTAGTGGGAGAGGAGTGGTGTCAAAATGCTGCGCCCCTAAGATGATACACCAAAAACGTTTTTGCGCAGTCTAAGATGATTTTATCCAGAGCATGACTGCATGACACTGTGTCTTGTGCTGCGTGAAATGATGCACGAAAAGGGGTTTATTAAAAACCCCTTTTTAAGACCCCTTGCAGCAACTGTTATTGAGGCTGAAGCATACCAATTATGCTGGACTACAGGGACATCTCCCTCCTGGAAAGTGTGCCTCTAATGTGGGGGCCCGTGACCGCGTCACCCGTGGGAATTGAACCCATGACCATTTTCGGGGGGGGGGGCCCCCCCCCTTATAATTGATATCCAATACATAACGGCGAGAATTCCATGAATTGCACGGGCTGGCCCCCCAATACCCCCTAAGCTTGTGCTGAAGCACGGAGAACTCAGGTAGCTGACGCTACCTTTCGTGATTTCCGGGGTACATCTACATATTTCGCTATCAAATGACATTCCTTTTGGTCTCAAATCCGGAAAGGGAAAATTATTCAGCAGTTATTTGAAGGTGATTTGAAGGCTATGTCATGCTTGTTTGATGATTAAATCCCAATGTTTGATGGTCTTAACATCATCATGGGTGATCAAAGTTTCCCAGTATTGTTGGTGAAAATAGACAACCACTATAAGAAGTATAGGATTTTGCAAGATACATGAGCTGTGAAAAAGAAACCGCTATCCTAACTATGAGAAAGATTAAGTCTGGTGTTGGCAATGAGTTTGCCCACTGTCTCTTCACACACCTCATCGGTCCATCTGGGGAGGGGGAAAGGAAGAGAAACAGAATAGAGGAATGGAAAGCAGAGGAGAAGGAGAGGTTTTCACCATAAAAATGTGGCCATAAGCATGGTGACTTTGCAGGGTGACTGGTGGACTTGGCCCAGTGCATCTTTCGATCTTTCGGCGGATCTTTCGCGGTTCTTTTGGGAAATTTGGGTGCCCACCTGGAAATTTTCTGTAAGTCACAATCATATACAATCATCAACAGGTGTACCCTCTCGTTCCAAAGATTCACAAACATAAGCCAACGTGTCATGAAGAAAAACAAAAACATAACATGAGCTTTCCTGACCTTTCGCGAAGCAATTTTACTTTCGCGATCTTTCGCGGCCCAGCATTTCCCTTTCGCAAAAAGTGCTGCAGGACAACTCCCTGATTGAAACAATCTATTGAGTTTTTTCCTGGCTTGCATGAGCTTCCAGCCTCGACCTTGCCAGAAAGCCCAGATATGCCCAGATAAACCCTGCTGGTGGCGTTAGTTGCTCTGCACCAATTTGTCATCAGACTTTCGTTCTTTAACTCTCCCGCTTACGCTGCAGAGAAGCTTGGCGCTGCTATTCTGTCTGCTGATCGGACGCATCATTCTCAGGTGGTCCCCCGTCTCTGCTAGATTGGTTGGCGACAGCAACTTTTTTGACTTCACCAACCTAGCGTCCGGGCCTTTGTGCTGCTGGGAAAGTATCAAGTGATCTTGTCAGTGCAAGAAGGATTTTTGAATGTGCAAGCTTTGTTCCCCGCTGTGCTGATTGAATGAACAACTAAAATGGCAGACACTGCCAGCCATATATTACCATTAGTGCCTTGCCATCTAGCCAGGGGCGCATCATTCGTGTGCCCATGAGCGAAGAACAAACATGCATCTAAATGCTCTTGAACTGCTATTGCCTGGCGGTATTGTCGTGAGCCTTAATCTGTAACTGCGATTGAAGATGCTGAAAGCAATCCTGTACAAATGCAAATGCTGCCAAGGTCTGTGCTCTTCTTGCATTCTACTAGCTCTTGCTCAACTTGGTGAAGATCCAACCTGGGGCTTTTGCGAGTCACACCCTCCGACGTGCAGAATTGGTCTTGGCTTCCAATGTACAGGATATCTGAAGACACTAGGAAGCAACCAGCATCTTGCAGAATCTTGCACAGTCTGGTCTTACAGTGCTTCCTGCCATGTGGTGGCGTTGCAACATCCATTGCTGACGTGCAGAATCGAACATGTTGTGGGGGACAGGATCAGGACTGCATACAATCAGCAGCCTACTCGCATAGATAGCTACTGTAAGAGTCACCGTCATGAGGATTGTATATTATATCCATGCGATATAACATGATTCATGCGGGGAATCGTACAATCCGCTTGCCAGTCAATTACTTCTGCACTTGGCATCCAGCTCCTTGGCAGTAGCACCTACCTGCAGTGAAGACCAATGGCAATACTGAGGAATCATGACAGCCAAACTATGCCAAACTGCATGTCTGTTTGAGTGGACTTCCACTGCTTTTGGCTAGCTTTGCGCTCCTGTGATTTCAGCTCGTGATGGATTCTTTGAGGATGCGTGAGGTGCAGGAGATCGAAACAAGGTAAAAAAAAACCACTGGTCTTTGAACAATGCGCGCAGCCTGATGGTCTGAATGATCAGTGGGGGAATATCGACCACTGTGACTACCTGCCAACCAATGCCTTTGTGCCATTCTCGGATTCGCTCTCCTACTGGTGGTCTCGTCTCGTGTTTGCAGTCAACTGGTAGACTTTGTGGTCCCTGCTCGGTTGCTGTCAAATCAAACGCATCAAACAAGCAGAAGGATTGGTATGACTGAGAAAGTCAACATGGTTGAGGCATGTCTAGGTACTGTATGGTTTAGGTATGGTTTATGTATATATTTAAAAAATGTTTTATATTATATTATATTATGTTATATTATATTATATATAATATCATGTAGGTCATGCAAGGTTCAGTCCTGGGCGAGTTCTCTGAGCTCCTGTGCGGGGCGAATCTCATCTCAACACATCTCAGCCATTCTCAGCCACTGTTTCCTTCTTCCAAAGCTCTTCTACATTTTGCTACTCTTTCTGGTGCATGCCGGCACCAAAAACATCGAAGAAGGCTTGACTTCAGGATTCCTCATCGCATCTGACAGTTGCAGCTCTCACCTGGACAAACTTCGAGATGCGGACATCTGTACAACAAGCAACGAATATGTCAAGGACCCCACAAGCAGCACGTATCAGATATATCGTCTCATGTTATGTGCCAAGAAAGGCTTGAAATCGACCGGAGTAAGAGAAAGTCTGCTATTTGCAATCACGCATTGAGCATCCACACGATCAACCACTCAGCGCGCTAGCCAGCGCAACTTTAACATAAGTCATCACTTGATTTATTAGCTCTGGTCCTCTGCGTGTCAAATGCTGAAATTTCTTCGCTCACATGCATCCAGCAAAAAAGCACGCGAGACTCTCGCGAGGTGGCGAGAACTGCATTTCGCAAACAAAAGTGCACAGCAAGGCAGGCAAAGCGAGAGCATGTTTGAAGCAAACTGCAGTTCGGCTTGGTTTTGGAGCAAACTGCAGCATGCTTCTTTCTGCCTAATACTTATGCCCGAGAAATCCGTCATGTCAGTGGGACGCGAAGACTCTTCCGTTTCAGAAACATGGCGCTCCGTTGCGCGATTGGGAAAGGAGGGTGGGCCAAGGCGCTGGTCTGCTAATTCATTACTTGAAACAGCTCAACGCATCCTCATCTGTGATTTTCCAGTCCTCCATTCAATGGTTTGTGCAAGCATTAATTCAACAAATCCATGCACCGGTTCATCCATTGCTTGTCATTCAGTCATTCACATTTCACCGCAATTCATTAACCAACTGCGCTTTATTCTTACATTACATTCCCTGCAGTTCACTTCATTCCAGTCGAGGCCACTTGGTTTAAGTGCGGCAATGTTTCTTTGTTTCTTTGATGCTGTATGCTGGCACAATGCGTGCGCCCTGCAGGGACAAGTGCAGGCTGCGCAAGGCTGCGCTGCTGCAGGGGTGGCCTACGTGGCTGCGGACCAATGAAAATCGGCTGCTTACGCAGGTGATTACGTCAAAGGTTCTGTGTGGAGCTCTTTTATGCAAGGCAAGGGGTGTGCTGATGCGGTCGTGCTTACGCAAAAGATTTCACAAAGGGGCACCGCGAAGGGCTTACATGCACGTACTCAAGAGACAAAAACACACAGCTCACGTCGACATAACACCAGGTTTCCTCTTGTATCAACTAATTATCCTTTCGTGCATTAAAAAAAACCTACTATACCCTACTCGTTTAGGTTCTTTCGCTTGAGCCTCTCTTCTTTCACTCGACTCACGTGCTGAGGTGAATGCAAAATATGCCTCTTAACTTATGAAGACTGGCAGCCTTGTGAGCATGCAGCTAGCATCACTGAATCCCTTCACAGGACAGATGGTTGCCTATTGGGCATATATTTGATTATACATCCAAGGCTGACCGGTCCACCCCCTTCAAAATGCACTTTCACTTTCGTCCGTTCCTTCGCGTAACTTGCGCGACATATCCCTGCGAGTTGTATAATGTTATATATGTGTACCATGATGATTCATAGTATCAAACCGTCGCTAACCCTTTGCGGAATAAAAGGCTAGTTTTGCAAACTCAAAAAATACATGAACTTTCACGAGGGTTCGACACATAAATAAGCAAGCGGTCTTCGCTATCATTATTCTGTACCAGGACCTTAGGTCAGCCAACATCTATGTATACATGACTGGCGCACGCATTACATCAAACATGTCCACCTGACCCCAGAGATACCGCGGTTGTGGAAGACAATCATCTCCGTTTTAAGTCAATCATAGTTTTCCAAATCCCCGGGGGGAAGGACACTACTTTCCACTTTCAACTATTTAAGCCCCATAATGCTCCATAGATGTTCATGTCTTGCAAAAAAGCTCCGACACTACAGCGGGAAACAACTTTCTGATCATTCAATATACTTTTTCAATCTTTTTCCCTAGATAGCTAAACTAGGGGGTCTTGCTTCTCAACTGTTGGGTACTCGGTGGCAAACTTTTCAGCATCCCGTCTCCAGATTGTCGAGGGTGCTGCGCCAGATTCTGTGAAGGGTGCTGTCCAGGGTTTGGGGGGAATTTTGGAAAGGGTGTAGTGTCAAGGGCGTTTTGAAGAGCAAACACATTTAGTGCAAGTTGAGGCGAGCTGATGAGGAACATTTTCACCAGCTGCGTTGGCATTCAAAGGCTGAGAAGGCGCATCACTGACCATCGGTGTATTTTTAAAATGAAGAACACCATGGAACGCTGTTTAAAAGATATCCCTTTCAGATCCCGGTACGAGTTTACCAGGGTAGGTAGGCACCCCTGCTTTTCTATTAGAAAATGAAGGGTTCTGAGTTAAGGGAAATAGAAAAGCAAACTCTGACCACAAAATAACAGAGCCACATTTAGAAAACCATATGCATACCAAAATGCATTTTTCCACTATGCTATGCGCAGAATTCCTTAGAATATCATGCGCGGACATCTGAGGTAGGATCCTAACTGCGGAAATTGCGGACATAGAAACCCACTGCCGAGTTTCTAGTCCAGGTTTTCTAGAGGGCATTGTGTTTCGAATGTCACCCAGTTTCTCCCACAGCAGCAGCTTCGAACAATTCGATTTCTTCGATTTTTTCGATTTTCCCTCTCGCTCAGCAAAATCTCAGCAACATTTCCAGCCATCCCACGCAATAGTTGCCATTCGAAATTCATAGAAATTCCAAGTCAAATGAAATCATATGAAATCAAATGAAACACTGGATCTTTCTAAGCACATCTGTCTGATTCTTTCTGCATCTGTCTAAAGCACATCAATTAGAAATCAGTAAGCAAGACGAGGTGTGCACCTGGCTTTTGCTGACGCTGGACCCTGCTAGAAGATTGTGAACGCGTGCTTTGGGCTAAGAAAGACACTTCTATCAAATTTCACGAGCTCCTGGAATTTTGGACTTTTAGGGAATATTGGATATCAAGGTCAAGATGCAATATTTGGTGCAGTCTACGCGCACTTCAAGGGTCGCACGAAAAAGCTTCAGCGTCATGGTTTGCATGGGTTTGCACTGGATCAGCCTTCCATAAACAGAATTGGTCCGTTCAGAAAAATGGAAACGGTCGGAAACGGTCGGAAACAGTTGGAAACATGATCAGGCCAAAACTTGTCCAACCCGCAAGGTGCGATCTCCGACTGTTTCCAACCGTTTCCCCTTGGACACCGTTGGACCTTCCAAAAAAAAAATGCGTTGCGCGGAAACGCTTATTTTTAAAATATTGCGGGTTGGACAAGTTTTTGGCTGATCATGTTTCCAACTGTTTCCGACCGTTTCCATTTTTCTGAACGATTAACTGGACCAATTCCGTCTATGGAAGGCTGATCCAGTGCAAACCCATGCAAACCATGACGCTGAAGCTTTTTCGTGCGACCCTTGAAGTGCGCGTAGACTGCACCAAATATTGCATCTTGACCTTGATATCCAATATTCCCCAAAAATCCCAAAATCCCAGCCAGGAGCTCGTGACATTTCTAGAAAATCATTTCCAAGGCATTTAATATTTGGATACTGTACTGGTGGGAGTGGGCCCCTCATAGATGACATTTAGAAAATTCTAGACGTAGACTGGAGTTTGCCTGTTGCACTATTGTCTACTGTGCTGGGCACCTCTAAAAAACCAGGACCCACAAGAAAATCGCAATCTGACTCCTTAGTGTTGCAGTATTGAACAGCTCTAGAAAACCTGGGCCACTAGAAAACCTCGCTCTTACCTCTCTAAGTTACTTAAAATTTTATCCGCAAAATCCATTTTTTGGACCTTCTAGAAAAGTATGACCATACGAGTATGATAGGTCCCAAGTTACAAAAAAAAGCTCTCTAGAATCAACGGGGGTTGTTACATAAAGCCTCTATGTTCCCCTGCCTATTTTTTCTCTAGAAACAGATGTCCTTACAGGGGGGTTAACCTACCTGGACCTGGTTTTCTGAGGGAAACTCGTACGAGGATCCTTTCAGCATACTGCAGCAAGGTACTATAAGAAAAAACATGTGGCACAACATGCAGGAAAGTACAGGAAAACACAATACAGTACCTGTCTGGTAAACACCCATTTGGTAGCCGAAAGAGGCGCGCTTTTCGAACGACTTCTACGAGTACGAATGACTTGATCCACGTATTTACATGGATAATTCATGATAATACATGATAATACTAGATATACCTGGATCTTCCGCAGGCTGAAAATCCAGCCCGAATGCTTTCAGGCTGAAATTTCAGCCCGAATCCTGTAAGCCTCAAATTTTCGCCCGAATGGATTTTGGCTATTTTGGCCATATTCAGCAGGATAGATGTTTAGAGTGGATTG